GCGTTTTTAAATTGTGAGCTAGAGGAAAAAATTTATATGGTGCAATTGGAGGGTCATGTAGTTATTGGTCAGGAACACAAAGTGTGTAAGTTGATCAAATCTTTATATGGTTTGAAACAAGCTGCTAAGCAATGGAATGAAAAATTTGATGAAGTGTTATTTGTTCACTAGAAGTAGATAAATGTGTATACACTAAATGTGAAAATGGTGTGTGTATTATTATTTGCTTGTATGTGGATGATACATTAATTCTTAGTAGCAACCTTTATCTAATAATAATAATAATTGAGACAAAATCCTTTCTTGCTTTAAAATTTGTAATGAAATACTTGGGGAAGCAAAAATGATTTTGAGTATGAAAGTCATAAGGAAAGATAATAGTAGTATACCATCTCAATAGCATTATGGTGAAAAACTTCTAAAAGAGGTTTGGACATTTTAATGTCACCCGTGTGAGTACCCCTTGTGACTCTCATACATACTTGAAAAAAAAGAGGTGATCCCGAGACTCTATATGAGTATTCTCAAATTAATTGATGTTGATTACACTTAATGAATTATACGATGCCCGACATAGCTTATGATGTCGAAAGATTGAGCCAATATATATACTAATAACCCAAGTGGGGATAATTGGACTACGTTGAGACGGTTATCGAGATATCTGAGAGGTACCATTAATTATGTTTTTTTTAGATTAATCGTTGTTATCTATTGATACAACGAGGATATATTTTATTGAGAAATATCCATTGTCCTAGAGCGGTACAATGATGTTATATGAGAATTATACATTGTACTATAATGATACAATGATAATATATATTTTATTGAGAATTTTCCGATGTACTAGAGGGTAGCATCGATGTTATACTTTATTGAGAGTTATTCATTGTATTGCCGGGATACAACGATGACATCTGAGTATACTCTCGTGAGATAAATTAAAATAGTGGATATCCATTCACCCCTAAAAGTGGTGCAATGACGTTTGAGAATGAAATTATTTCCATTAATTTTGTGAAGTTTGAAAGAATGAGCTATTCCTTTGACAAAATCCCTAGCTAGGATGTAAAATGATAACCGAAACATCGAAGGAAATGGGACTAGTGCACTTTCAAACATATGGGGATGGCAACCCAACTTATGTGATTGGAGATCTCATGAAGCAAGTTCTATGGGTAATATCAAGTCTTCCATTTAGTTCTGCTAGCCTAATTAAATCTGTCCATTTCCATGATGTGAGATATAGACTAGAAACTGCATTCTTTGAGAGGGTGGACTAAAAACTCTTAATGATTATCATAGCCCTTAATTTTAGGGTGGTGTGCAAAAGTGGTACACGCTTGATGATATCACCTATATGAGTGTGAGGTATGACCGCCTTTATGAAGCATGACAAAACTTCTAGAGCACTCATGAATACCAAGCACACGCATGATCTTACGGCGCACAACGGCGTAATAACGAGAAATTATGCGGGGTGAGATACGACCGTTATGACCCTGATTTACCAATAATAGCTTGTTGGTTCAAGAAACTATACGTTTCACCAAAAGCTCGGTTTATAAAGACTTAATCGTCTCGGTTTGGTTCATAGTCTACGGACACCAAACTTAAAGTCTCATTTTTTTAATCCAACATAAATTTTCTAATTTTTTTTTCAAAATCTCAAAATATTCATTTGAAATGTGTGGGGGATTGTTGAAAACATTGAGAGTATTTCAAATGAATAAAGATTTATTTATTTTAATTTTTTTGATAACTTTCATTTTGCAAATAAATTGTTTGTACAACACTTTATAAATGATTTGTGAGCTGGTATAATTATTTTATGTACATCAAACGTTTGTAGCATGGATCATGTTGAAACGTATAGGCATTTGTTTTCAAGATTTTTTCAACGTTAATCCTCTTTTAATACAACAACTAAATACCTTTATTATTAAATAATAATATGGCACAACAGTTTTCACATGGAAGCAACGTTCAAGATTTCCCTCTATAGATATACTCCATGCATTGTGCAAGAGAAGGTGATACGGAGCATATTCATACTGAAATTTAACTAACAAATATTTTGTTCAAACACATGTTAGTGCTGATTTAAATTTTTCCTTACTCTCGTTTTCCTGTTACCGGCTTATGCCGAAAAGCTCGTTTTATCTTGGGGAAAGGTTTTCGCTAGTCGGAAATACTTTCTTGAGGACAACGTCTACGCAACTCGAGCTATTTTATTATTGGGAAAAATAATTAAAATACTCCAAACTTTGAATGGGTGTGAGATAAACACCCCAAACTTGTATATGTAACTTAAATGCTCCAAACTTTATATAAAAAATTATTTTAACACCATAGTCAAGTATTATTTCTTTCAAAAATGTAAATTTATGGTGTTATTTGCATAATTTTAAATATTTTAGCATTCATGAAGACACAATTAACATTCTTAACTTCCATTGTGAAATAAATAATATTATCCCCAATCTATATAAGTACAACGTTTTTAGTTTGTTATTTTAAACAAATTATGCAATTAACATCATAAATTTACATTTTTGAAAGAAATAATGCATGACCATGGTGCCTAAATAACTTTTTATATAAAGTTTGGGGTATTTAAATTACATATGAAAGTTTAGAGTGTCTACCTCACACCTCTTAAAAGTTTGGGGTATTTTAATTATTTTCCCCTTTATTATTCTAACACTTTTCGAGGTTTATCCGGCCGAATTAAACCAACAGTTCGCACTTCCAATTTGTCAACTACAATTCTAACTAGCTCTAGACAATTCAAAAATCTCTAAATTGGATAATATACTCCAACTTCATCTCATTTTTTAAAGGCTAAAGGGTCAAATAGACCCCTGTACCGGTCATGTAAGATCAATTCAATCCATGAACTAAAAAAAGGTTTAATTCGCACCCCGAACCGACAAAAAATGGTTCAAATTTCATTTTTACGGGTAAACAAACGCTCATTGTTGAATTTTTTTATTGTTTCAGTTTCTTGTTTTCGAGTTAATGCAATTTTGACACTTTTTAATAGTTTAAGGTGAAAATTGGACATTTTTTACCGGTTGTTTACCTGTAAAAAATGAAATGTGAATCCTTTTTTGGCGGTTCGGGGTGCGAATTGGACCTTTTTTTAGTTCAGGGACTGAATTGAGCTTACACGACCGGTACATGGCCTATTTGACCCTTTAGCCTTTTTTAAAATACATCCTAAATCTTATTTAAAATCTTTTAGTATTATATGTTATGCCTATTCTGATTTTTTAACTAATTAGTTAAAAATTATTTCATTACATTTTTATCTAGTTTTAACCCGGCCATCATAGAACATGATATATAGACTGTAATTTGCTATTGTTCTAACTAGACCTGTCAACGGGTCGGGTACGGGTCGGAATGAAATCTTCCAGACCCGGACCCGTTAGCCTCTATAAGGTTCCAGACCCGATCCATACACTCCGCAGGTCTAGAACTAATGTTCCGGACCCATACCCATTGGGTCTCGGAACCGGATCGGGTAGACCCGACCCGTCTCATGAAAATCCAATTCTAATGTGTATAAATGTGACAATGTATGAGCCTATTTGCCTTCTTTGTGAATTGTGAGTTGGTTTATAATTTGCAAGATACATAGTGTTAGAATAAAGAGTAAAATTAACGACTTTGAAAACTGAAGAGGCTTTTTCTTGATTCCTTCTTAATGTACTTGTATGTAAAATTAGAATAAGGAGTAAAATTAATGGATTTGAAAACTGAACAAGCTTTTTCTTAATGTCTGTGGAGTCTAGGGTCTTTAGGGATCCTTCTTCGTATTTATTAAACTAAAATGTAATGTGGGCGGCAACTAATGTAATATGTACATTAGACTAATATATACATAAATAAATATTAACGGGTCGGGTCCTAAATGGGTCGGGTCCTAAACGGGTCGGAACTATATATACCATACCCGACCCATTAAATAACGGATCCGGATAACGGAATTAAATGTAGACCCATACCCATTAAAAAAAGACGGATCCGGGTCGGGTTTGGTCTGGACCCAACCCATTGACAGGCCTAGTTCTAACTTTTGTTAGGCAATATTTTTTGAATGGAACTTTTGTTAGACAATTAGTTACGCATTATATAAAAATTGATTTAATATAATGATTGTACTCCCTCCGTCCGCCAATTAAGTTCCCGGTTTGACTTCACACGTATTAAGAAAATAAATTTGACTTTACTGTAGAGTGTACCGTTTTGCACTGTTCAAATACTGTTTGACACTGTTTTGCACTGTTTGACATTGTCTTGATGTAGATAATTTTCCAAATAAGGAAAGTAAAGAAGCGTGAACTTAATTTAGCGACCGCCTAAAAAGGAAAGTGGTAACTTAATTGGGGGACGGAGAGAGTAATATCGTATAACTAATTATCCAACTTTGTTACATCTCATCTCTTCCGTATTTAAATATGTTTAATGTGTTTATTTTTAAATTAGTATATTTATAATAAAGGACTTATTAACACAAATATGTTTTTGAAAAGTATAGCTGATTAAAGCAATCAATCATAAATTCATTTTTCACAACCACAATTTGGGTTGTACATGTTCAAATTAAAGTAAAACAATGTTTCAATGATGTCTTACTACCAAATTATGACTGACTTTTGGTCAATTATTTGTATCTTTTCAGCAGATCCGTTTTTTTGAGTTTAATAGGTTATCCATAACAGGGTCACCGGGTTTATGAGGCCCACATTTTAAAAAATTTATTAATATTATATAGTAATAATATTATATATTAATACTAATCAGTAAAATATAGTTAGTCAGTAAAAAAGAAAAATATAGATCCATCATTTTTGCGTTGATCATTTTACTCTTTTTATTCTCTTTCAATAAGTATTCAATTGATTTGAGTATAAATATTTGAATTGATTTTTTTTTTAATTTTCATATATTAATGTGGGTCTCCAATTTTTTATTTAGAACCCGGTGCCCCAAACTCATCAGACGACCTTCCTTTTCAGGTCGTACCACTTAATAAAACTCCCATCCAAATTCATTATCTTCATTTATTCGTTCTGATATAGTACTCCATAATACTACGTATAATTCCTAGTTCATCAAATCACTGGGTGGCAAGAAAAAGTCAATAGACAGTCCCTTAACGTTAAAGTCAACTTCGTCAATGGTCCAAGCCTCTTCCATCCTCGTCACAGTTTGAGCCTCTGATCTTCTGTCGAGTCTACACAAGGAAACCAAAGTCTTGCCGGCGTGAGCTATGTTGACGCCGTTAAGGGTACGGTAGTCGTGGATCAACGACGTGGTATTTGTTTCCCAAGTGATGTCATCATTTTCCGGCGACTTGATTCTCAAGAGCTGGGAATCTTGGAGCTGGACGAGAAGACCGAATCTTTGACTGAAGTAACCCCACACAGTGTGCTTGATTATCTCCAGTTTAGTGCTGCTTCTGGCTTTCAGAACTGTGGGTTCTGCTTCAAGCTTCAAGACAAAGCAGTCTTGTCCGTTGACCATTTTCTCTCCCGTGCATATTGAATTTGAGAATAGATTCGCCGTTGACATTGGATCCAGACCCTATTAACCATGGTATAAAAAATACCTTTTTATTAAAAACTACGTAGTAATGACATATTAATTCATGCAAATAAATTTAATATCGGGGTGTTGAATCTACTTTTGATTTTTTTTTGTTCTTTAAGAGAGCAGAAACAAATATTGGTCCGAGTGTTTTGCTCATTGAAGCAGTTTTTAGAAGGCGAGGGTATCTGCTTTTGACATATTAATTCATGCAAATAAATTTAATATTATGGTGTTGAATCTACTTTTGATTTTTTTTTGTTCTTTAAAAGAGCAGAAACAAATATTGGTCCGAGTGTTTTGCTCATTGAAGCATTTTTTAGAAGGCGAGGATATCTGCTTTTGAAAAATTAGTCATGCTTCTACTTATGCTTTTAAAGAAGAAAATGAAACAGAATCAACTCCAAACATCTCAAACCAACTACCAAATCAAAACATTCGGGTCAACAATTTTAGTAACCGGTTCACTCCACTACCGATAAAAGTTTCCCGCTGATTAGTTGTTTCACTAGCGCGCTCGTCCAAACCATCTTGGACTACAAAATTAATTAAGTTTGAAAATGGGAAAATCGATACAACAACAACATTACTTCCTGTGCCGCAAAGATTCTCGGCCACCTTACTAGGGTAAAGAGAGTCGGATATAGACAATTCCTTATGATGTACTAAAGCAAAGACTATTTTCGGATTGTCCATTACGAATCATTTTGAAAATTGCATGGACTGTTGCTTCACAACAATAAAATATCGATAGTTTAATGAACTATTTTGCTCCATTCCAATATATTTTCAAGTCAAAAAATAGTGAATCATTTCCTCCATTGGAAATGATGGTACGAAATCATAATATGATATGGAAAACAATTCAAAGTTTCAAAAACTAACATAAAGTATGCTGAAATCACGCTTTTACTTTGTTGTAAATGTGCTCCTCGTTGTGAAATCCGAATTAACAATGTTAACTTTTGTAACTTATGACACAACTAGGATTATAACTTCTGACACAATATAAAATAATACTTTTCTAGAAACTCTTCACATCGATATCTTTTGTCTCTAATGTTACATTATGGATGAAAATTATCGATCAAAAATATCCAATTCTATAGGAGATGGATGTCACACATAGACAAAAAAAGTTTTCGATATGGCCAAAAGAATTGTATAGTTTTTATGCAGATTTTTAAAACTTTTTGCACCAACAATTTTTTAGTAGTAGGCCACAGTAAAAAAATGTAAGTAGGAAAAATCCCGATTTACATATAATAAATGATTGACATAAATAAAGTCCCTGATTGATATTCAATCTCACAGACATTAAGGATGGTCCGATGTATTTAAATGTTGTCTAATTTGATTTGATTTCATAAATGTATGATATATGTGTATCACTCGTCTATAACTATCCAAATATGTTCTGGGCTTACTTGCAAAGTGCGACGAAGAGGGCGGGGTGGACCACGGGAAGCATGAGAATTATGCCAAGGAGTGTGCCTCCACGCCACCTTCCCATCGCTTCCAGCGCTGATCTTACATCCTGAAACCACCATCTCCAAGCTCCACAAATTCGGTCTCTTTTCCCACACCACAAAGCCTCCCATTTCTCCGGCGCTCTTCACCCTCTTCATTTTCATCTTCTTCTTTAAACCCACGTCCCCTTCCTCCTCACAGAATCGAAATTCGGCTGCCGCCATCTTCACCTTCCCCATTGCGTACAAACTCCCAATGGAGCTCAGGGCATTCTGTCCTCCCGCTGCTGCTATGTACTGATGGACTATATACTTGGCCATTGACATCTCCTACAAATAATAAAATAATACTCCGATCGTCATAGTATTTTATCAATAGTTGCAATTATAATAATGACTAGCTATGGTGATATATAGATAAAAATTACTCTAATTATATAAAAAGAAGAAAAAATAATGTGAATAAAAACATCTAAATTAGGGATATTGTATTTTTTTCCTAGTAATTGCTGTCAATGTGTATTTGACACGAGGATTATAATAGTGGATATTATATGATGGATAATTGTGCATATGAGAAAAAAATGTGTAAAAATGTGTAAGAGTTGTTGCGAGTTACAAATCTTTTGTCAAAAAGGGAAATGAAAGATTGTTTTGAGACATAAGAAAAAGACATTTGGAAGATAACATGATGAAAATAATGAACTTGTATTTAGTTATATACTCTTATTCTAAATTTTCACATTGCTTTTACTCTTTGTTTCGGGATAGTTGTGCATTTAATTTTACCATGTAGTGAAAATGATGTTAGTGAAGGTAATTAATTAAAATCTAAAGAAAACAATAAGGTTTTTACTTCTTAGCTTGAGTGATAAAGTACTTACAATGGGATGATCATTGATTTTCTTGGTAGACGAAAGGTGAGAGGGAATGGGATGGGGGATGAGAGGAGCTCCGACGACGCCGAGCAAGAGCTGGATTTCAGCGGCGGCGGCATTCCTGCCGGAGATAATGGACTTGATGTTCTTTGGAGACAAGAATGAATATACAGCTTGTTCCGGTATGGGAACTTCATGCACCGTGTACAGCCCTTCTTCCCTCTCCATGTTTGGCCACACCAAGGTACTCATAATCAATACTAAGCTCAAACCGCCGGAGATGATCGATCAAGAATCGAATGAATCAAGTCAATGAACCCATACATGGATTGGAAGAAATGTGTATTAATTTGTGGTTCATTTATCAAATTAAAATGTGGGATTTGGATGGAGCAGCTGTCACAGACAGCAACGTGATGGAATTTAGAGTGTGTAAGTGGAAAAGTTTAGTATGGTAAGTACTTGATGTTGGGTTGTTGCTTCAAGACTTAGTGACCATTCACTCCCAATCGAGTTTCGTAAAAGAATTCTTTCTGGCTGCGACCGGTTTTGAACAGCGAAATGTTGGAATTATTCTTGCATTTAATCTAATCCCATCAAAATAAGTCACGTATAGTACGTACTCCAAGTTTTATGTATTGGGAGATTTGGACATTTTGTAAAGTAACTTTCACTTCAATAACTCTACTTAATTACATACTACTAGTTAGACATGGACTCCGGATGGTCCGGGTTAGGGATGGACTAAACCGGGTCGGCCCGGCCCGGAACTGGCCCGTTACTGTTTGGGCCCGGACCGGACCGGGACCGGTTGGCCGGTTCCGGGCTTTTAGACCGTTTGGGCGGGTCGGGTGGGCCGCGCTCGGGCCCAACTTTTGGTGATCCGGCCCGGGCGGTTCGGGCTGGGCCCGGTTCAATTTTTTTTGCTTTTCTAGGTTAGGGTTGGGTGTTTTGGGGGGGGGGGGGGGGGTGAAGGGGGGTGGGGGTGAAGGGGGGGGGGGGTCGGGTGTTAATTAGAAACCAAAAAAAAAAATTGAACTTGACCCGGGTCCGGCCCGGCTAGGCCCGGACCCGGTATCAACCCGGGCCGGTTCCGGGCCCAACATTTTGCAAAAAAGCCCACCCGGGCCCGGTTCGGAACCGGAACCGGACCGGCCCGGGTCCATCCCTAGTCCGGGTCGGGCCTCGGGCCGGCCCCGGCCGGGCTTTTTTGGGTGTTGTTGAGACCCGAAACTGGCCTGGGTAGCTACCGGGTCCGGGTCAGGACGGGTACAATTTTTTTTTTTTTTTTTTTCTAATTACCTCCTGCCCCCCACCCCTACACCCACACTCCAAACTCCTCCAAAACACCCAACCCAACCCATTACCTCCCAAAGAATTTGAAAAACAAAAAAAATGGCCCGTACCTGGCCTGGCACGGCCGGGCCGGTTCATTTTTTAGACCCAGAGCCTGCCCCGAAAAAATATAGTCTGGGTGGCCCGGACCCGGGTACCCGGCCCGGCCAGGCCGAAACTGTACCGGGCCGGGCCGGTTACGGGCCGGTTGACCTGGCCCGACTCCATCCCTAATACTAGTTCCAAATATGGGATAGTATAGTTTTCGACAAGGAGACAAATGAAGTACATTTTGGTGAAAATAAAAATTTTAATGTTGACATATTGTGAGATATAATTAATACCTATTGCGAGTGATTAAAGTTATAACACTAAGAATGTATATATACACATAAGTTTGTAAGTAAGTAAGTTACCCTGACTAAGAGTTTATTTTTTCGCCTTCTCAAACTTTTGATGGTGTCCGTCCTTTGTCATCAAACACTAATCAAAATAAGTAAAGTTAAAGTTAGTTTTATAATTGAATGAGCTAAATTTGATGATGATTTAATTAAATAGGGGAATTATTTCTTGACCCACGAGTTAGGTGATTCAATTAGAGAGCTTCCTCACTCAAGTACCTTTCTTGTGGGAATAGTAAGTGACGGAGAGTAAAATTGAAAGATATGCCCTGTTTGGTTGGAGGGTTTAGGAGGGAGGAGGAAAGTGGGGGATTTGTGTGTGTTTGGTTGAAGGAAATAGGGGGGAATGTGAGGAAAGTGGAGGGTTTTCAAAATCCTCCACTTTCTTCTATTCTAAACCCCCCAAATCGGAATATTTCGAAGGAAACGTGTTGATTACCACAAACTATCCATCTCCTACGTGAATGAACAAAACGTTATACGATAGTAATATAAAAAGGTAAAAAACAAAAAATTTTGAAAAATTAAAAAATTTAAAGATTAAAAAATTTAAAAATTATAAAATTTAAAAATAAAAAATTAAAAATTTTAAACATTAAAAAATTTAAAAATTATAAATAAAAAATTTTAAAAATTAAAAATAAAAAAATAAAAAAATAAATATTAAAAATTAAAAATTCCAAACTGAAAAATGAAAAATTATAAAATTAAAAAAGTAAAAATCAAATAAAATAAAATTAGGACTCATGAACATTGGAGTAATATTCACAATAGTTAGACATGTATCTATTTTTTTAAGTAAGTTATCAAATAAAAGTAAATTGCGAAAATGTTTTCATAAAACCTTTTCTCTTATTTCCTCCAACCAAACACAATTTTTTATCAAAATCCTTCTTTCCCCTTCCCTTCCCTCCTTGACTCTCCCCTTCCCTCCCCTCCTTTAATTTGAACCAAACAAGGCCTAAAGGTATAAGCGCAGATGGAACATGAAAGGTTGCTATGTAAACAGATTCTGTATTAAACACCAATCAAATAACTTTAAATCTTATACTTCATTAGTTCTTCCTTCCCAAACTGATTTACAATTTGTAGCTTTTAAGCTTAGTTCATAATAACGTTCAATATCCCCAGTTAATATTGTAATCAATTTATTAATTAAAATTTACATCTACGGTAGTGAACGTTAAATCACAATATAACAATAAGGTCAGAACATGATAAACAACTGAGATTCATAAGAGTAAAAACAAACTTTGATGATATAGAAACATAAATTATTTAATTAAACAGGGGAAGTATGCTAGTTCGTTACGGAGTATTATGATTGTGTTTGAAATTGATTTTACTTCTGCTTTTTTTTAAAACATAACTAGAATCAAAATCTATTTTCAGAAATTGGTATTCTCTATCTTCTAAAAAAGGCTTCTAGAAGCAATTTGGAGCACCCTAGCTACATATACTTCGTGTATAGTGAACATGGTCGATTCAATGGGAATTAAAGAGATTTAAAGCCGGTAAATAAACATTCCTCCATCTATAATTGTATTTTGTGTGAGAAATCATGTAATTGTTTAGCTAAACGTATACCGTACCACTATAAAAACAATTCGGGATTAGCACGAAATTTGACAGATTTACCAATTTTTCGTGCCAAATAGCTCTTGCCAAAGTGTTTTTGGCACGAATTTGGCATATCCCTGCCAAAATCTATGTCAAATTCCCGTTATCCCTGCCAAAATCCCTGTTAATCCTATAATTTTTTGGTAGTGATACATTGTATACATATTTTATACACTTTGTGTACACCCCTTTAGTTGTCTACAAGATAACTTTTGAATAAATTATTTGTATAGACAAATAACTAGAAAATAAGTGCTTTATTTTCGTCAAAGTGAAAACCTATGGATGGGCTTTCATTTTTAGCCAAATTAAATGGAGTTGAAACGATCAGACCACAAACCAAATTGGTGAGCGTGCCCTATGCCCCTACATTGTGATCATTATTTACTTTAGGCCTCAACTTTGATAGTTTGATGGTGAACATGCACGATCTAAAACAAAAAAATAAATAGAAATTAGTTCAAATAGGATTAAAACTATGCCAAAAACCTAAAATAGGACTTGCTATGTTTTTATTCCAAAATAGGACCATATGAGTCATATTGGAAACATACCTATTTTTGCATTCCATTCTTACCCTTCCATTAAATATGAATTAAAAATAATCAAAAGCCATAATTAAATGTTTAATTCATAATAAATTCGAAAAAAATTCAAAAATTCGTAGAAATATAATTAAAAAAATTATAAAATTTTTATAAAATAAAAAATTCAAATTTTTTTTTAAAAATAATTTTATTTTTAAAAAAATTAATAAAAAATAGGAAAACTCCGTAAAAAATTTTAAAAAAATATGGATGCCTTTCCCACCGCCTGTACTACCTCCCAGCACCACCACCTTCGGCCGATGAAAAAAATGCCATTTTCCCAGAAAAATGTCATTTTTTTCTGAAAATGCCAAAAAGTGGCATATTTCTCTTTTCGAATGCCAACATTTTCATTTTTTTCTGCCAAAAATATGGCATTCGTAATGAACAAGGCATTTTTTTCCCTTGGTGACACTGTTTGGCACTGTAGCGACACTGTTTGGCACTGTAGCGGCACTGTTTGACACTGTTTTGCACTGTTTGACACTATTTTGTATATATTTGTTTACCAAATAAGGAAATGAGACAATTGTTTTGAGACGGACCGAAAAGGAAAGCAGGATAATTATTTCGGGACGGAGGAAGTATAACTACTACGTAGTATATAATGCAATAATTTCATCAAAGTACGTGTATGCAGGGCCGGCCATAGGGGGTAGGCACCTAGGCAGTGGCCTAGGGCACCACTCCTAAGACGGGCATCATTCTCCTGTCCAACAGGTTTTGGTCCGAACGCCGTGCGAACAACGCTTTTCGGGGCGGTTTCTGGTGGTATTTTTTGATAAAATTTTTATGGTATGTTCTTCATCAAGTCTAGTTTATCCACAAAAAATTTCAGCTCAAAATACGACCGGGAAGGACCTCAAATAATTTTTGGAAATTAACTGCGCAAAATTATACATAGAAAAACGCAGTCAACTTCCAAAAATATTTTGACGGCCTTCCGGATCTAGTTTTGAGTTGATTTTTTTTGTGAATAAACTAGACTTGATGCATAACATACCATAAACATTTCATCGAAAAATTTCACCGCGAATCGCCCCAAACGGCGATGTTCGGACGGCGCCTCAGGTCCAAACTTTCGGACCTAAGAATTTTCCTATATATATACAATAAACTGGCCCAATAAGAATTACTGATCATGATGATTACCTCGTTGATAAAAAACGGAGTTTTAGTGACAAACACTAAACTCGGTGCTTGCAAATTAAATGGTGAAAAAAGTGTTATCTACTCTTGATTGTGGTGATGTACTTACAAATTTGCACATCAAAAAGCAAGAAGAATATGTTATTAGGTAGTACTTTTATAAATTTTTTTATTTCTTTGAAGAATTTATATTTTCACATACTTTACATCAATTTTAAATCAGGTATTTC